CGGCTTGTTTTACAACGTCGTTGCCAAGCGACGAAAACCCAACCCCGATGGCAAACACCGGGGGCGGAACTCAATATGCCGGGGGGGGGAGGGGTATTCGTGAGCATGGAACGTACTGGATGGAAAGATCGAAACGGTTGTTAGTGAAGAAGACGACGACAACAACAACAACAACAGCAACAACAAGCACAAGAGAAAAGTGCATAAAAGACAACAACAAAACGATATTTACCCCCTCCAGTGTGGCCCTGCATGTTTGATATTTTTTTGCTCCCATCATTGGACTCTGTCGTCTGCCCCTCTGGCCCCTATCTTCCACTTTTACCAGCTAGACGACCCAACCGGGGTCACATAGGAGGATTGTGGTTGTACGAAAAAATACACTGAAAAGTGTAGTACGCATCTCACCACGAAAAGGGGGGAATGTCCCCAAAATAAAGAGGCCGACAAGAAAGCATAAAACGTAAAAATACCTGTTCCCGGAGCTGCAACGCCTCCGCCCAGGCGGCCTGGTTGAAGTAGAAAGAGTTACCCTGCACGTCCACTTCCAGCCTTCGTTCCAGCTCCTAGAATGAAAACGTTGACGCGCAAAACACGGGTGCACCAAGGGCAGGGCCGCGAAGCGCGCCATTCGGCAGGATGCGTGGCTACGTTCGAAACGCGACGTTCTAAAGCAGAGCGGTGCAGCTACTCGTCAGCCAGCCGTCACCTAACTCCGTTTCAGGTCGTCCCGGCCGCATACCGTAGGTTGCATAAGATATCACACCCCCTGGGCCGATTTTCAAAGCGCCGAGATTGGAGGCGTTGGAACCGTCTCGTCGAGAGCTTCCCGAAACGTATCATTTGAGGTTGGCAAGCTCTTCGGCGTGGAGTAATCGAACTTTGAAAACGGGTCCAGGGGGTGTGTTATCTTTCGTCATGGTTTATTTCGTCATGTCACCTTCGGTAGCCTTTTCCGAGCACGAAGCACCGAAACCACAGCTTTCTCTCCGCAATCTCACGCAGCCATGCCATGTGGCATGACTTCGACGTGGAATGCTACTCTGCCTTCAGGCAGCAATCGTGGGCCCGGTTTAGTGCAGGAGGAAACGGGGTCACCATAACAAGGCAGGTCGCTATTGCCGGCATACACGGCAGGATGCCGCAGTGGTGGCGATGCCACGCGATTTCGTCGTCGCCATGCAGGCGTGTCGCTCAACAGAGGGTAGCTAAACCGGACCCACCCAAAGGCAGGGGGAACATCTAAAACGCCAGGTGCTTAGCGCCGGTGGCGGTGTACGGCGCCCATAAAACTGCTGGTCACACACTCACCACACTAGTCATTCTGTACTATGAGTAGCACCGCTCCCGGTCGACGCCCCAGGCATATAACAACGTTGTTGAGCCCCCCCCGGTAACCATAATGGTGGCCGAGTAGATCATGTTGTGCGGGGTCGAGAACCCTCGCTCCGCGCAAGGGGGATGATCGCACCACGTTGTGTTAAAATGGTCAAGCACCCTCGAGGCAGTAACACAGTGCTTACAACTGTCTCTGGAAGTGAAAGCACCAGAAAATAAAGTAATTCATACGCAGCTGTCATCCGTACGCAAGGAAGTAAGCACAAGATGCCGAACACCCTTAGCAGGATGCAGCGCACCCTTCATGCGACTCG